TTTCTTTTTTCTGTTTTTTTTTTTCTTCTCCAACACGACAATAAAATTTGGAGTTTTTTTCTGATAAAGTCGAATTGGCGAACTATTTACGGGTAAGTGTTTTTCAGGATTTAATCGGATTTACCCGAAAACATGGAACCTTGCGAATAACACGCTCTTTTTTTTTTCTATTTGACCTTCGTCAAAACAAAATTAACGTGTCGACTGTGCGTTTTACTGACGTGTAAGTTCTGCATTTAACTTTGTTTATGATTCTTTGTTATCTGAGTTCACTTGGAGCTGGCCCAATAACTACATTTTTTTCCTCAAGAAAAGGCAAATAAATTGAAAAAATAATCTTTCTTCATTATAATATTAAGAAATGCTAAAATGCAGTGCTTCTTTTAATTACGACATTTCCACGAACAAAATTACCCCGTCTTCAAGAGAGCAATTACGTGCAGATATCAAACAGTAAGTTTTTTTTTTCTTCTGACAATATCATATTGGCGCTAAGTCGAGACATTTTTTAATACATAGAAGACCACTCTAAAAAAAATAACTGACGGGAAAGAGAGCAGTTTTGCAATTACAGCTCTGAATTGAAAACAGCGAACGGTCGCGCAGCTTGGGGTGCAGTCTCTTTTTGTAGCTCCGACGACGTCTCCTCGATGCGCTCTCGTCGACGTATGTTTGTGACATGAAAAGAAACGACTCGCCCACGGGTCGAAACCAGAAAGTCAGTCGACAACTGTCGGTAACCTACGTTCAATCTCAGAAATATAAAGGGACAACGAATGGCGTTCGAGAGTCTGCTGCACAGTGGCAGCGAAATGACCTCTGCCTTTTTCAAAATATAAACGAAAATTAAAACTAAATTGTTTCGCTAAACGTGAGGAGCATTAAACTTTCGCTCAGGTCTTAGAAAATAAAATATTAAAACTGCCTCAAAAAATTATATTGAAATTTTCAGTTAATGGTGTTCACTCGTGAGTAAAATACAAGGTGCGTTTGTTTTGCATGCTTTTATTGTATCAATCATTTTACATTTTTACTTCAGCTTTAACACACCCTGTCATTGTTCGTGTCAAAACACTTTCATACAAAGGCTGGCTTTCTTTAATGTCCGGCCTACCAAGGTCATTAGCAGTGCAGGGAACCTTCTTTTATAGATGATTGGACAGCACTGGAAGTGAACCCGCCCCGCACAAAGGATGTACACATATTCAACCTTATAGTGTATTTATTTTATTAAACGTAAGGTGTTATACGTCTCGATGTAATGGCTATTTTAGGGAGTAATTCTTCTCATCAACTCGCATGTAGTACATACAGTTATATTATCTGAAACTCCTCAGATCCAGCCCAACTAAGTATAGCTAATTTCCATGCGTAGCGAAATCTTTACGGTATTACCACGTAAGAGATAATTATTTTTAAAACATTCTTCTGCTACCCACCCCCTCCTCGATTTCGTGGACCTGGCTGGCCTCCTAATGCGCAGTATGTTTCCCCACTAAATTTGGCGGAACAATTATTGCCACGTGACTTATGCACCCACTGAGTTTCCCCGATAAATTTAGCGGAAAAATTGAAGTCACGTGAACTAATCACCTGTTCAGTTTCCCCACTAAATTTAGCGGAAACATTCGAGACACATGGCCTATGCTGCAATTCAGTTTCCCGCTAAATTTAGCGGAAGAATTGACACTACCTGACCTACGCACCAATTCACTTTCCTCGCTAAATTTCGCGGGAAAATTGATGTTACGTGACCGGACGTCACGGGACCGACAGAAGGATTCAGGTTCCCCGCTAAATCTAACGGAAAATTTACGTCACGTCACCTATGTACCAATTCAGTTTCCCCGCTAAATTTTGCAGGAAAACACATCACGAACCTAAAATCGTGTATTCGTGAAGAACGTATCGACTTTAAATCAATCAGTGCAACGTCATTTTAATATGAGATCACCGTATCACGCACGATTGGCGCAATGTCAATCGATTGTCATCGTCGTATGGTCGAATAAGAAGCACAGCTGACAACGTCTGAACGCATCACGGTGTCCGTGGCCTCGTAACAAAAGAAGGAGGTAAACATGACGAATGCCATCGCAATTCATACACAGCCAAAAATAGTGGTTTCTGTGGCCATCTTTTTCTTTTCTTTTTTTGTTAGAATAGCATTGCCTAATAACGTCGCAATTTTAGGGAAACGCAATTCATTAATTTATTTTTGAAGCTGTGTCTTTTTTTTATTTCTACCAATACTAGCTTACTGCTATTATTGAGTAACGCTATGCATTACAATACGACCTAATTAATTTTAACCTTTATAAATACGACCGCGGTAACAAAGCTCTGCAGTTTGAACTTCTATCGGGTTCCAGGAGACAGTCACGATCAGTCCCTAAAAGTATCTTCTAGACCTTATATCTCGTCAGTTACAAACACGTGCAACGTAGTTTGACTCCGCACACACTCTAAAAAATATAGTGAGTCTATTTTTTCGCAAAGTACTTCAAGGAGCTAATCGCTGCAACCTTCTTAGTTACCTTGGTGACCTAAAAAAGAATTCTGCGTTGCGACACTGAACAGGGCAAACCGTCGTGCTCATTTGTGTCAATGAGCATGACGTTTCGCCGTGTTCTGTGTCACAACGCACAATTGGTGCATAGGTCACAACGCAGAAGTCAATTTACGTTGTGACACTGAACACGGCAAAAGTTTTAATTTATTTTATGAAACAACAACAGCCATTGCAGCAAAACTTCATGGTAAGTGTGACACTTAGCGTGAAGGTTTTGCAGCACTGGCTGATGATGTTTCAGAAAATCAATTTTAACGTTTGAAGAAGATAACGGTTAGTTATTAAACTTTAAGACCTGTTCAAGAAGGCAAGCTTTACTTTTTGGCGGAGTTTGAGTGGTCATCAAAGCGAAGTTTATTTTTTATATGGGAAAACACATTATTTTTACGCGCTGTACTTGCGAAAAAAATAGACGCGCCATATTTCTTAAAGTCCATAAACGTACACCCAGCGTTTTGCACGATACCGAAAGTGAGTACGCAAATAGCGTTACTCGTTCTTAATCAGACCCCTGAGACAAGGAACACTATTATAACGGACAATAACTGACTGTCCGTTATTTTATTTCTGTTTGTGTCAGAGTTCAGATTATGATGCTTCCAAGCCACCACGCCTGTATACTTTCACTCCCTGCAATCGCTCGTTAATTCGCCAAAAATTAAACCGTTGCTCAGATTCGTTACCGTGCTGAAAAGTTGAGGAAATACTGTTAGTTCGAAAACCTAGGAAAGAACGTTACTTCCGAGTTTCTTTATATTTTAATATTATTAGCCATCAATATGCCTTAAATATGAACATTATCAATCATTAAACTTTTACATAGTAATATAGTCTTTATCATACGTTATTTTTACAAACATTGAAAAAATATATATATTTATTCTGATCGGGTTGAGTTTGCTTTCTTAGTGAGGATTTTGAAATGATACCGCAGCGAAGAAAATATTATTTAGCATTTCGGAACAGCGCGTTCGTGACGCCGCCATAACTTCAGTTCCCAAGAGGCAGGTGGCAGTGCACGATACGGCTCATGCCGTCTCGTGCCGTCGCACAGACGTCCAGTGAGCTTGTTGCACGTGCAGAAAGACTGAGGTTCCCTCGATTCATTGCGGCAGTGGTGGCGTAGTCAAACTGACGGGTGACATCGGTCTACTTGTTTTTCCGTTTAAACAACAAAAACCGTCGAAAGTAACAGTTAACGAGTAACGCGATTTTATAAACCATACCAGACATATTAACGAAAAGGCTTCACTATAGTAAGTTACAACTTAAGAAGATAGGGCGAGGGAAAGCAAGGTTTGGGGTGGAGGAAGCAGACGGAACTCGTAAGAGAGGAGGAGGTTTCTCCCTTCAGCGTTCCGTCTGGCTTCCTCGTCCCCAGCTTTCCTTTTTCTAGCCTTGCCTTCTTGAAATGTAACGGACTACTGACAAACACTAGCGAACACAAAACGGCTCCCGCAGAAACCAGACCCACTAATTTATTATTTACATTTTACTTTCTTTCTTTATTGCCCTTTTCTTCCTTTCCTCTCTCTCCCTCCCCCACCCTTTCATATACCCTCCTGTCCCTCCCTCTTCCCTCCTCCCCATCCCTTCCCCCATACTCCTACTGCACTTTTTTTTATCTAAATACATCGGGGAAACTGGAATAATGCAAAGATCGCATGACGTGAAATCACGAGGTTAGATTCCGGGTAAATTTAGGGAAGGAATTGGATTCTATAACATTTCTAGCGCGTCCCTCGTCCATGACGCTCGTTCATGACGCTCGTTTATGACGCTTATGCGTTACAATTTTCTCATAAAAAATGGCATATAAACAAAATCTTTGTTACTTGTACATGGTAAAAATTGCGCACAAAGAGACGAGGACAAACGAGCAAGGAACACAGAACACAGACAGGCGCGCACTCACAACTCTAGCATATTAAGTGAAGAAGAGAAAGATGAAGCACTATTTTTTACAGGGGACAACGTCACCACAGGGGAAACAGATCATCCGCAGTCAAATGATCGCAAGAAGGCAACTTCTTTTTCGTTCAAAGATGGTGCTCGAGGCGTTCACCATCTTGAGCTTGACCGATCGCTGCGTTAGTCAGCCGTCGGTAGCTTTGAGCGAAAAAGAAGTTGCCTTCTTGCGATCATTTGACTGCGGATGATTTGCTTGCCCCTGGTGACGTTGTCCCCTGTAAAAAATAGTGCTTCATCTTTCTCTTCTTCACTTAATATTCTAGAGTTGTGAGTGCGCGCCTGTCTGTGTTCTGTGTTCCTTCCTCGTTTGTCCTCGTCTCTTTGTGCGCGATTTTTACCATTTTCAATGTTTACCAACTCGCCCAACTTACTACTCTTCTACAGTTTGTTACTTGTAACGGGTTTCTTCCAACACTGCGACACACTGCACTACGGTGAGCTAAGCAAGCGCACGCACCTTTGACGGTCATGGTGGCAGACCGGTTGACGGCCGCCGCGGGGTTCCTGGCGACGCAGGTGTAGTTGCCGCTGTGCTTGGGCCCGACCGAGTGGAAGGTGAGGGACGACGTGAAGGTGTTCAGCATCTCGGTGTGAGCGCCCAGGTCCTGGGTCAGCGGACGCCCATCCTTGAGCCAGCCGATGAAGACCGGCGGGTCGCCGTCGATAACCACACACACCACCACGCTCCGCATGCCTTCTTCCAGGTCACTGGGAAACTTGAACGGGTCCACCTTGGGCCCCACTGGAACACGGAGCGAGCGCGTCTCGTGAAGAAAAAGGCGAGGGGACAAAATGTGTGTCATAGAAAAAAAAGCAAATATAAAATAAAATCGGGATGTAATATCGTTTTTGAGAAATGCATATCTACCGAGGGCATGAGGACGATCACAATGCAAAAGCAGGCTCAATTATGTTTACTTTTTCTTTTGTATATTAATGGTAATACAAACTTAACTCGTTGATAAACGAATTTATAAAAAAAATCACTTTTGTTTGAATCAAAGTCTTGTGAGTTATCTACACATCTTTATTTATCAAATCAATTTTGAATGTTCATATAAGACATCTCGAAAGGTATGTGCCGAATTCGGTCCGTATATCAATCGATTCAATTAATGATCTCCAATATCAATTATATCGACGTCTTAAATTCAAAAGTCTTCCATCGTAGATCCAGGTTATTAGCCGCATCCTCGCACACATCAGCCGATCCGGAAGAAACGGTCTAAAGCAATAAAATGTTTCATATAAACCTTCAAGATGTATTGCATTGGGTGTTATGACGAGCATCTATTACTCGTAACTGGCAGCTAAACAAACGCAGGGCGCGGTAATTCCCGAGAATCTCAGTATATCAATTCTAATTTTAATTGTATCTACCTTTTATGAGAACAAATTGCATCTCGGTGATTAAACTATCCAAAACACTTGGTCCCCCGCTAACCCAACCGCTGCCACGTTGTTTATTTTCGGCCTTCCTTTCGCATTTCCACCATACTTCGAAACACCATTAACAAACCTCCAGACAGGAACAGAGGCTTGTATAACTAATGCTTCTCTCGATATATACAATATTGCAGAAAAGCAAAAACTGCCCGTGGTGGATCCCGTACAATCCCGTAGCCGAAAATATCCCATGCAGAGTTCACGAGGAGGGGAGAGGGCTTTGCCTAACCGCGCAGGGAATGAAGACGAGCCATGCGGGGCGGCCGTCACGTTCGTCGAGCGCGGAAAGACGTAAAGAAAAGGCAGGAGAACCGGCGGAATGTTATTGGCCGCGCTCTGTTTGTCGTGCGGACGCGTCGGCACGCCGAAAACGAGCCAGCCACGACATTCCTTGGCTGGCAGCCCCCGGAATGCGGTGCCGCTCCCTTCATTTCCCTCCCGCTCCCGAAACCCTTCTTCGGCTACCGCTTCTTTCCCCAAGTCGTTCATTCTCGGGAAATGTTCGTCTTGTGTTTTGTCTCTAAGCCCGGAGGAGCAATGTCTCGTCTCTTTCGGTGTTCAATTAGAACGGGGGGGCACACGGTGATATGATCCGTGCCAGCGTGAATCTCTCGGACGATCGTCGCGAATTCCTTCCGTCGCTCGTCGTTTCGCTCCGATGGGATCACCGGGAAGAGACGGACTACGCGTCCCAACTCCCCATGTCTCGTTTCTCGTTTTTTCATTATTTGTTTTATTTTTTGTATCCTGTAATTTGCGATCAACCAAACGGCTCTGTATAATTATTCAGTTCGTGTCCGGCCATTCGAGGTTCACCTGAATCTTCCTGCAATCCCCGCAAGATCTGGTAACAAATTACATTCAGAAGCGCAGCTCTTAACCATTAGATAAGAGTATTCGTCAATAATTGTCAGGAACGAAATTCTAATGGACTTTCGACCTCCCTTTCAAGAATACACGCGATTCGAAAGGCTCCTGTAATCAATACACCCATTTTTTTTTTTTTTTTACAAAAACAAAAGAACAAGGTAATGTTTACGTGTCTGAGGCGGCAAACCGGTTACGTTCACTGCGGGTCACTGTTAAGCATAAACCGCACGTAGGCGTTTTGGCGAGCGACGAGGCAAGGGACGGTGACCGACCCGCTCCGCTGTCGATCGGTCAGTCTGTCGCGCGACGAGGCAAATTGCGTGAACGAGACGGCAGCAACCGACCAAGGCGATGAGTGACGTTTTCTAGGAATCCAAAAACCGAGCGACGCGATGAGTGACAGCGAGAAATCACCGTCGCTCGTCGCAGACTTGCGTTGCTGTCGCCGTCGCTCGTCTCGTCGCTCGCTACACCGCTTACATGCCCCCTTTAGCAGCCTTTAGCTCGAACACACCGTCGGCACATTTTCGCATTTTACTTCCAAAGGCTATTGGGAGGCGCTAAAGTTTACAGCTTTGGTTAGCGCCCCGAGTGAGTACTTATAATAATACAAAGTTCTTGTGTTAATAAGTACTTCAATTTTAGTGCTAAGAAGCCTGGTTCCAGGTTTATTCACACCAACAGTGTCACAGTGTGCACATAGTATAATTTACCTGTATCATCTGCGCATGCTCTGTTCAGATAAGATCATGCACGCGAGTCCTGACGAATTTTTGTTTTGTTTTTGTTCATTGTTTATATGATACTCCCTAACATCTGTAGAGAATGTAATCAAAATAATTTTTGCAAAAAACATCATATTTGAAGAAAAAAAATTAATTGCGCCAAAAAGGGCATTTTTGATGTATAGAGTTTTTCTTTATATCCCGTTTGGTGAAACCCGCTACGCAAACTACAAATATAAGAAATCAAATAATTTTCTCTTATACTATATTATGCAAACAATGGAGATTATGGATAACAATTATATGTACAGCATTGTAGAAGTCGTATATGATGCAAAGCAAATGCGCAAACATGGCTCTTTTGCCGTTTTGTCACTCAATTTCTCAGCCCGTATTTCGTCATAGTTTTTCTAGGTCAGTTTCGACAGCGCCATTATGAACTTACGCTCTAAATAGTAGACAGAAGTTGGCACAGTAGACACTCTTTTTAAAACTGCCTGTACCACTTATACTCAGTGTGCTTAACAAAGTGGTTGCCTTTATATTTTATTATTCTACAGATTTCAATTGGTTTAAACTTGCAACACTGAAAACGGGTCGGAGAACCTCGTTTTTCCTAGAAACGAACACCCAAGAGTAACGTCATTTTTTACTATGTTGATGACATCGCATACACAGTCACGAAGCTTCCTTGCACGTCGTTTTCTTCAAAACCATAATTGAGAAGCACAAAATTACAGCAAAACGACTAGTCTATTCTTGCGATTTTTATTCACTTGGCTTCAGTCAGAAAATGCAACCGCTACGGGCATTATGTATTTATCAGCTAGCTTATCAGGTACAAATTAGCGAGCAAAGATATTCACTAGTCGCGATCTGAAGGAGATGTTAGGTTAGTTAGTTGACTTTGTTATTTGACAATACTGTCAATCATCTCGCAATCCAGTGAACACAAACAGATAATTACTTCGGGTAAGTACGTCACAGTTCTCAAGAATTTCTGAACGCACACACGCTTAAATCAAAGAAATAGATGGAAGTTAATTTATCGAAGCCAAGAAATAAAAATAAAACCGGCATGAAAAATGTTTGAACATTGCCCACCCATGACGTGAACGTGGAGGGCTCTTCGGGCGATGTCCCCACGGCCGTTTTCCGCAACACACTCGTACGTTCCTTCGTCCGCTTTTCGGTTCACCTCGGAGACGACGAGGGTGCCATTGGCGTGCACCAGTTGCCGGTGGCCGCTCGGAAGGGTGCGTCCATCTAAACAAAAGAAGAAGAAAAAATAAACCATAACAACGCACACAAATTTAGCTAATAATTAAATTCCACTTCGTGTGATTCAAAAATTGCATTTAATAGCGTGAAACGTAGAATTACCACGTGCTCTAAGGATGTTCCCTGCAATAACTTCAGCGTACAAACTGACCTCTCTATCGGTAATAATGCGAAGAATACCTACTAAGCAGCAAAAACCTAGACAACGCCCTTGGGGGACCTATGCAAAAGGTTGTGCGGACACTTGATTGTTTCACAAAATAAAATAGTTGGATGAGTATCGACAGGTTTATGTTTTATACGCTTTATGGCAGGGGTCTCAAACACTCGGTCCGCGGGCCACATGCGGACCCCAACTTTCTGAGACGCATCCCACAGGCATCCCGCGACTGCAAGCCACCCCTCCTTCCCAGGTCCCGAGCGCCACATACACCATAAATAATAGCTTTTTATCGTCGATTCATTTTCACTTGAATGAGAGCTCTTCTCTATTCGCGCGTTTTGCGCTATTCTGTTTTCTTTTGAACAAAGTATTGTTTCTTCTAAATATTTGCTTCTTTGCCCTTCCTTATGCAAACCAACCACCGGAATGGCAATATTACTAATAAGTTATACGAGTTCGAGTTCTTTGCTCGAGGAGGCACCTCGGCTGCATGAACTCTTTCTCAGCAGGAAGGCTAAGATAAAAAGCTATGAGCTCCAGCTTCCAGCTGTCAGACAATACCTTTAAAATTAACGTATTTTCTTTTAACGCTGCTATAAAAATCGTCATGAAAACATAAACTACCGTAAGAAGACATACTTATTTTATGCCCGTAGAACCTAATGAATAAATCCTTCCCGAACGTCAGTCTATCAAGCCTGTTTAGCGTCAAACACGACGCTTTATATGGCGGCACTACATTGCTTATCCACACCAGATAAAGCGAACGCCTTCGAAAGCATAGAGCAGAAAGGGGAAAGGTGTTTGTCTGGTTACGTCACCTTCGATTCACGAAATCGAAGGTGCTTGATTTAGCTGAGCATGATCTCCTATCACCGCCATTAGAGCGGCAATATTGAAGCTTTTGGGAGTGCCACAAGGTGACTCTGACCTTTGAAACGGGTCCATTGCGCGACAAAGCAAGGATGGTGTGCTTGCTCTCGTTTTATTGAAAACTGCGAGTGCTGGGGTATTCTGGCATTTGAAGTCTATTTATAGCGTCAGGTGTGAGCCCAAAGCAGTCGTATATGCAAATAAAAGCTGATGAGATAAAAATGATGAGCTTACAAATAGCAAAAATTACAAGGTTCCTTATAATCGAGAAATATATATGGGGTGGCACTGGGAGTGTCAGATGCTTTACAACGTAAAGCACAAATGCCTTTTTTTGTGTCTTTTGTTCCAAATTGCCAAATATTGCCCCCCCCCTTCCCCTCTGTTGGACCTCATCCTTTCGGGGATGGGCTATCCGAACCCCACAATCGAATGAGGTTGAGACCCATGATTTATTGAGACAAAATGCTTTTAATCTCGTTTTTTCGTTTTATTTTTTCTTCTGCATTAGAAATACTGCACATGCATAAATAAATAAAAAAAATGAGAGCGGGCTGGTGGATGTTCATCATGATGAGGATTACCCGATACTATGGTAAAAGCGGGGAATTTGTTGGAAGTCAGAAGTTCTTTTTGCACTGCAATTTTTCTTCCACCAAGTTCCACTCTTTTACCACAGTCTCAGGTAATCTAAATCATGATGCAAAGATCAGTAACGTAGAATTCCTCGCGACTTGTTTGGCAAAATGCCTTCAAGCTTCGAGAAAACCGAAGCTTCAAGAGTCTAGAATCTGCCATTTAGAGAAGTTCTTTTTGCTCTGCAATATTTCTTCCACCAAGTTCCCCTCTTTTACCACAGTCTCAGGTAATCTAAACCATGATGCAAAAATCAGTTACGTAAAATTCCTCGCGACTTGTTTGCCAAAATGCCTTCAAGCTTCGAGAAAACCAAAGCTTCAAGAGTCTAGAATCTGCCATTTATACATCCTAGATAAGTAAAATGCGAATAAACATGCGCCTGACGATAAACACCTTTTAGCAAACTACTACACGAAGTTTTGCTGCAATCTCACTGGTTGTGACGCGATAACATTGGGCTCGGAACACACCACACCTTGAGTTGCTTAAGGCACAAGGGACGCTGCCACACAACTCCCCTGTCCAATGCGCGCCACTCGCGTCTCACCTCTCTCCCAGCGAATAGCTGTGAGCGGGTATCCTCCAACGGGGCAGTGCACCACCAGGTTGCCCCCGGACAGAGCGGTGACGTTCCCCATGAGCCGAATGGTGGGCGGACCGTACACGTTGACTCTTGCCATGTGGGACGCCAGACCGACGTCGTTAGACGCCCTGCACCGGTAGATGCCTCCGTCTTCCGTGCGGACGCTGCTGATGTTCACGTAGCTGACCACGCGGTTGTCCCTGGTCACGTAGTCACCCACCCTGTAACGGATGGTCTCTGGAAGATGGCGTCCGTCCAGGTCCCAAGTGACCTGGGGCAGAGGGTTCCCCGTGGCCGTGCACCTCAGGGACACCGACCCGCCGGGCTTGTGGATGGACTCCGGGAAGATGTTCTCCAGCACAGGGGGTTCGTCTGTGGGACCGAGAGCAGGCGGCGAGCGTGACCGGGCAGTAATGTAACTCCCGCGTTTGAACCGGATACATATTTGATTGTGTAAGTTGCTTTTTTGAAGGGATAAGGCAGTCTCGTAGTGTTAGGGGAACAAGGGAAACGTCGACGTATGTTTGGAACTTGTTTATTCAGTGATTCAACGGGGGTTTCAGTCGATCACTTGCGGATCACTCATTTGGCATCTGTTTCCTGCGATCTAGCACTTGTGGGAGCCTCTGGTTCCCTTTCCCTGATCCGGCCTTCTGGCCGCGGGCACGACGTCGGAAGCCACTTGGCTTCCGACCGGAGCGTACCTTATCGTGGCAAGGAGAGGCAGCCATCTTGGTTGTCTACTCTCGCCACTCCTCCGTCCGCGTCCCTCCCGCTGGGGGGGACGTAGGGAACTTCCCTTTGGCGGGCTCGCCCGCCCCTCCGGGGACGAGGCTGGAGCCGCCAGGGAGAGAAAGAGGGAGAGAGCGTGTCCTCTGGCCGCTCGGGGAGGGGACTGTTCTGCTGGACTTGAAACTGTTCGGACGTGCGGCCACGGACTCTGCTGCCCCACCTCCGTCCAGGCTCTCGGGAAAGTGCGGCAAGGTAAGGACAACCTCCCCCTTGCCGTTACTAGTCTTTATATCTTTGTATTTATCCGGACAAATAAACCCCGGGTGTCCCTCTATTCTGTGTGTCCGTGTACTCCCTTCGTGAGTCCCGGCTAGCGGGTGCAGCCAACAGTCGAACCCGTCGTAGCGGTGACTCTGATCCGCTGCGGGGTGGTGGTTTCGCGGTCGGCCTCCTATCCGGACGCCTCGCACCCCTTTGAGACCTCCACATTCTGGCGCCCAACGTGGGGCCACGGCACCTATCGTTGTCGTGGTTTAGCGTAAACTTTGTGGTTGCCCCGCTGTTAGGGTTTCTTGAGCCATGTCCGCGGATCAGCCCGATTTCGGAGCTTTGATCACGTTGGCGGACGTGGCTACGGGAGGGCAGCCCCTGGCCGCCCCACTCCCACCCGTCGGCTACCCGGCCGCCGGCTCTGTCGGCGGCCGCTGGTTTGCGCCGCCCTTGGCCAGCGGACTCTCCCGTGAAGTACGCACCTTGGCTGAGGACCCCCTGACCCCGTCTCCTTTTAGAGACCCCGGCCAGGCGCGGCCAACGCCCGGCGCACCTTCCACCCGGGAGGGGAACGCCGTTGGCGACGTGAGCGGACCACCCAGTGGTTATAGCGCTCCGTCTCTTCATCCGCGCGACTCGGTGTCCCAACGGGCCGATGTCCCGCATGACGACGCTACGCGGGTCTCCCCTCTGCGAGAGAGCATCCGCGCGCGCGACGCCGTCGCTGCTCCCATCGGAGCGAACGCCACCAGCGCTCCGTCTCTTCATCCGCGCGACTCGGTATCCCCACGGGCCGATGTCTCGCATGATGACGCAACGCGGGTCTCCCCTTAGCGGGAGAGCATCCGCGCGCGCGACCCCGTCGCTGCTCCCCTCGGAGCGAACGCCGCCGGCGACCTCATTGAGTTGCCGGCCGACGGCCCGCAAGACCCGCCGAGTCACAGCATCCCTCCGTTTGGAGGTGAGAGTTTGCCGATTGGCCTCTCGGGAGTCTCACCTTTGCCAGACTTTTCCCCATCACGGCGGGCGCCCGTAGCGACCCACTCGGGCAATGATCTCGCGGGCTCTCATGACGCGCTGTTGCAGGAGGCGACACGAATCATTGAGAGCCTGTCCGGCGCGATGCAGGCGATCTTGCCAGGCCCGAGAGGCATGCGATCGCCTGTACGGATCCCTATCCCCAAGTATAAGGGGTATGGGGACTCCATCAGCGCTACGGACTTCCTTGAGGACCTGCTACACTATCAGCAGGCAATGGGGATGTCCGATCAAGAGATCCTGGGTCGCATTCTGCCCGTTGCCCTGACCGACCAGGCAGCCCGCTGGTTTCGCCTGGCTGGGCAACACGCGCTCACTCTCCAGGAGTTCCGGCTGTCTTTTCGACAGGAATTCCTCCCCGCAGACTATGAGCGGAGGATGCGACGAGAGTTGGAGCGACGGACTCAGCATCCGGACGAATCGCTCCTCGAGTACGTCCGGGCCATGCAGGAGCTGTTTCTGATAGCTGACCCTGCGGCCCCGAACTCGGAGCGAGTCGAGCGAGTGATTAGGCAGGCGCATCCAACGTTCGCCGCCTATCTGCGCGGCAGTCGGTTCAGCTCCCTGGACGATCTTGCCGTTGAAGCTCGCCGCCTACAGGGCGATATCCTCGCCTCGCGCGCCTACAGGCCTCCGCCTCACCCGTCGGAGTCCCTAGAGCCACGCTGTGCGTGGAACGGAGACTTCGGGGCTCGGACTCGCCGCCCTGAGGCGTATGCGGCATATGCCGACACGCGGGGAAGGGACACGAGAGACATTTCCGATCGTGCCCTGGACCCCTACACCTTTGGCTTGCGACGAGGCTCCACAGAGGCGCATGCGGCCCAGCGCAATCGGGACCGCCCGTCGGATACAAGGCAGCGCAGGGGGGCGCAGGTTGAGCACCAAGATGCTCCCAGTGAGCGTCCCGCCCCGTCGAGGAACGTGCGACGAGACCCACCCCGCGGTTCGGACGCACGGTGTTTCCGCTGCGGTAATCTGGGCCATTTCGCCCGAGAATGTACTGACCGGCGGACAGCGCCTCCCAACGCCTCGGGAAACGGAGCAGGCCGCCGCTGACGAGGCCGGCGGCTCGGAAGAACGCGGGGGCGCCCATGATCGCCCTCGCTCCGTCCGCGTATCGGCTCGATTTTTCACCCGATGCGCCTGCTCCGTTCGTGGCCCTCACAATCGCTGGTCGAACGTTTGCGGCTCTTCTTGATTCCGGGGCCAGCGCATCGTTATTCGGCGAGGAAGTATTTGCACACTTGCAAACGCACTCTGTGCGGTTAAGAGAGTGCAACACGTCCTTCCGGCTGGCCGCTGGTGGCACCGCCCAGTCGAGCGGTGCCGTGCGGTTAGTCGTGCGATGGGACCACAGAGTGAGGCGCCACCGTTTCATTCACCTCCCCGACCTCTCTGTGCCGGTCATTTTAGGGCGAGACTTTCTCGCTCGAACAGGGATGGTGATTGACGTCGCTAACGGAGGTTACCGTGAGGGCCCCTTTGGACCGGTGAAACCCTTTTGCGAATCCCCGGCTGCCTCCACGGCCCCCGTCCCGACGAGCGCAGCGAACAACCTGAGTCGCGAGGGAGACGCTCTTTCCCCGAAACCGGTTGCGGGCTGCGCGGCTGTGCACCCCCCTGCTCCCAAAGCGGCGCCCGCCGCCGGAGCGGGGGATCGTGCCCCCCACCCACTGTTGACACCCACGTGCGGTATTACGGGACTTGATAGGGCGCGCCTCTCGTCGTTGTTATACTCTTATGACACGATGTTCACGGACCGACCCGGCTGCGCTGACTCAGTGCGGCATCGGATCGACACAGGAGATGCTCGCCCTTGGCGATGTAATCCTCGTCCGGTCAGTTTGGCTAAGAGGAAGGCCATTGACGCCGCCCTGGATGAGATGATCGACACCGGCGTTGTCCGGCGTTCAGAGAGCCCATGGGGCTTTCCGGTCGTTCTCGTCCCAAAGAAAGACGGCACATCCCGCCTCTGCGTGGACTACCGCAAACTGAACGAAGTCACCCGTAAAGACGCCTACCCGTTCCAAAGCATCGACTCTATCATATCGAACCTTGGCGGAGCGAAGTACTTTACAACTCTCGACGCCAGCAGAGGCTACCTACAGGTACGAGTCGAACCCGAAGACGCGGCCAAAACAGCCTTTGTCTGTCACCGTGGACTTTTTGAGTTCACGCGCATGCCGTTCGGGCTTACGGGAGCGCCCATGACATTCCAGCGACTGATGGACCGTGTCCTCGGGGAAGCGAGATGGTCATATGCCATGGCGTACCTCGACGACATTGTCGTGTACTCGGACACCTTCGAGGACCACCTGCGTCATTTGGAGGATGTTCTTGAGAGACTAAGAGCTGCCGGAATCACTCTGAATCCGAAAAAGGCCCAAGTCGCGGAGACCCGCATTTCTTTGTTGGGGTTCACGATCGACAGGGGCCACGTCTCGCCTTGCCCGGAAAAACTCCAGGCACTCCTGGAGTACCCGGCGCCGACGGACGTCAGCTCTCTGCGCCGCTATCTTGGGATGATAAACTTCTATCGTCAGTTTATCCCGGGATGTGCGGCTCTCCAGGCTCCCTTAACCCGCTTATTGAGGAAGTCCGCGAAGTGGGACTGGGGCCCTGAGCAGCAGGCCGCTTTTGGTAGCCTCGCTGATGCTCTAGTGGCCACTGCCAACCTGAAACTGCCCGACCTGAACCGATCGTTCGTGATCCAAACTGACGCGAGCGACCGGGGACTCGGGGCGGTTTTGCTCCAGGAGCACGAAGGCGCGCTCCGACCGGTTGCGTTTGCAAGCCGATCGTTGACGCCCGCCGAGACCCGATACAGCGTGACCGAACGAGAGTGCCTAGCCATGGTGTTTGCTCTCCGTAAGTTCGACATGTTTGTTGACGGGACTACCTTCGTCATTGAGACCGACCATGCCGCTCTAAGGTGGCTAACCCGCCTTCGAGAGCCTGCAGGTCGCCTGGCGAGGTGGGCGCTAACGTTACAGCGCTACGACTATGTGGTGCGCTACCGGAAAGGGAGCACGAACGTGGTGGCCGACGCTTTGTCTCGGGCCCCCGTTGCGTGTGCGAGCCCGTCCGAGTCAGAAAGCCAAACCAAAAATGTGATTGCGTCCGAGCCACGCACAGCCCCGTCCAACGGAACACCGGCCCCCCCGTGTTCCGCAGACGCGACCGTGAACCTCGTCGACCCTATAGGCGGCGTGGGGATCCCCTTTGGCAAACAAGAGCTACGAGAAGCACAGCGGAACGATTCGTATTGTCGAGAAGTTATCGACGGACTCATGAAGGAGTCGGACTCGTCGGAGTCGGGCGGCGCGGCCGCCGGGCGATCAGCTGGTACTGCTGAAAACGCCGAGCGCCGGAAAGCCACTGGTGGTGTGGTTGGCGCGTTGGATTCGTTCCTGCTTGATGCTGACGGGCTTCTTTTGCGGTATATACCATGTGAGAACGAGACATCTGACCCGTTCAAGGTGGTGGTACCCCGCGGGCTGAGAGGCGCCCTGTTGCGCTTCTATCACGACACCCCCTTGGCCGGGCACTCGAGTGGCCCTAAGACTTACCGAAAGTTGTGTCACTCTGCTACCTGGCCGAACATGAAGAGGGACGTTCTCAGATACGCCCGCTCCTGCCACCTGTGCCAAAGCCTCAAGCCACGAGGCGGCAAACCCCCCGGCTTGTTGCAGCCCATCAAAAGCCAGCAACCCTGGTCTCTTGCGGCTTGCGACATCGTCGGCCCTTTTCCAAGGAGCCCGAGGGGTCATCAGTACCTGCTGGTTGTCACGGACCACTTCAGCAAATGGGTGGAACTATTTCCTCTCCGAACGCTGACGGCTCGAGTGATCCTAGATAAGCTACTGGAGGTGTTCTCGCGCTTCGGGTATCCCCAGGCTTTGATAACTGACAACGCCAGCGTCTTCACGGCAAAGGTATTCGTGGACACCTGTGCAGCCCTTGGCATTAAGCACAATAGGACCACGACGTACCACCCCCAGTCGAATGTGACCGAGCGTGTCAACCGCAACCTCAAGCCAATGCTTGCGGCTTATGCGGAGCGACACAAAGATTGGGACACCTATCTCCCTGAGATTGGGTTTGCTCTGCGATCCACGGTCAACCGATCGACGGGTTTCACCCCTGCCATGCTTACCTTCGGGCGAGAGCTCCCGAACCCCATGGACCGCGTGTTGGCGGCGAGTGATGGGGTGAACGACGCGCGGCCAGCCTATGCTGATTACACACGGCAGCTCCAGTCGCGGATAACGGAGGTCTTCTCTAAAGCCCACCGAAATCTGGAAGCGGCAAGAGCTAGCCAGAAGGCCCAGTACGACCGCTCGCATCGAGACGTCCGCTATCAGGTGGGCGACCTCGTGCTGAGGCGCGCGCACGTGCTTAGCGATGCAAGCAAGGCCTTCTCAGCAGCGCTGGCGCCAAAATGGTCGGGCCCGTACCGAGTTAAAGAGACATGCTCCCGCCTTGTCTATAAACTAACGGACCTGCAATGCAGGGACGTTGGGGGACCGGTACATGTCTGCGACCTGAAACCCTACACCAGGAGGGAGGGGGAGCCGACCGAGGACACCTGTTCCTCGCGGCAGCAGACACGCTCGCGGCAACCGGCACGCTCGCGGCGAAGCGGGGCCAGCGGCCTTTGTCAGCCTCCCCGCTATCCACTGCGAAGCCGTCGTAATTAGGGACGTCGAAATGCCGGTCTCCGCGCGACCCCTGGTCGCAAGGGGAGATCGCCAAATCAGTTCCCGGCGACTTCAGTTTGTGTACGCAGGGTGCCATTTAATTCTGTTGGTGGCACTGCGTGGCCTGCCTCCCGAGGACCCTTCCGCTCTGCGGTTGGGCCGGTTAATGTACGCACACTGTCTGTAGCCAGCTATTGGCACATGGAGATCCGGCGGCGAACCACGTTCTCGGCAAGCGATTGCTTTTCCTTTGTTGACAGCGTTTTCGACCGAGAACAGAGGCGCCGGTCCACCCGGTTTCCCCTATCCACGGGCCGGGAAGAAGCGCCCGCGGCCAAGTTGCGAAAATCAGCCAGAGGATGCCCCACCGGCTTCTCTATGCCTGTTTTTTTCGCCGCCGCGCGGTTTCGTGCCCCACTTCCACCACGCGGGAGGAAGAAGGGGGAACAGAGGGTAAGTTCTTTCTGCGCAAGACGTAGGAAGATGCCCCGATGTCCGCCTCTGAAGTCGGTTCCTTCAACACCCCCCCCCCCCCCCCCCCAACGTCTTGCGGGGGAGACTGGGGAAAAGAGAGGAAGTGGGCCAGAACTGTTGCGGCCCCGACCTTTGGGGGGGAGAGGAGGTGGGGGTGCCCGGGGCTATCGAGCACAGGAATTGACAGAAGACCCGCTGAGTTCTCAGTCTTTCTCTTCCAAGATGAGCGAGCAGCAGCCCGGCACCCAGCCCCGAGCCTCTGACAGCGGCCCTTCCCGGGAAACGTGTTTTCCCGAACGGGGATCAAGGAGGGCCGCGAGGCGAAGGCGTTTTTCCGGCCGCGGGCCGCAACGGCGATTCGGGACCTGCCCGGGCCAACACCACCTGTCGGTTGACTGCGGTGGCTATGGGGGCCACCGGGACGGGGTCCGCGGGCCGCCAGGACGAGCGGCTCTTGAGGGGGAAGCATTGCCAAGGGCGCGACGAGACGGGGCCTGCCCGGGCCGCCGCTACCCTCCGGTTGACTGCGGCGGTCATGGGGGCCACCAGCACCGGGCTCACGGCCTGACCGGACCGGCGGGTTCCCTCGGGGCTCCATCGGCGGCTGCGGACGCAACGGCCAGGAGCGACGCCGTTCTCGGGGCCTGCCCGGGCCGCCGCCACCCTTCGGTCGACTGCGGCCGTCATGGGGGCCACCAGCACCGGGCTCGCGGGCAGACCGGACCGGCGGGTCACCTCGGGGCTCCATCGGCGGCGGCTGCGGCGGCCGTGGACGACGCGGCTCCCGGATCAGCGGCCGGGGCGCCCACCACCGGTGGCGGCGGGGGAAGGTCGGTGCGCCACGTCGCGACGTGGACTTCTCAGAAAGGCACGGAGCCGCCTCGCTGTTATGTCTCGTGCCGTAAGTGGTCGCAGCAGCGGCGCCCGCGGCCAGGGGCACCATCAAGGACGGTGCTGCCAGTGTTTTTGGGCCGCACTTTGGACGAGGAGGACCGGGAGGCTCAGGGCGCCTGTTTTGCCCCGGATCCCGGTGCCGTGTACTGCGGCGTGTGCGGCACGCTGCGCCTCCACGAGGTGCATGAGGAGTGCCGCTACCACCGGGACCGGGTCCGGGGAGCAACGCCGAGCGCCGACCCCACCCCGACCGACCTGCACGCCGCCCTCGACCGGCCCGGCGCCGTGGAGGCGGTGCTGGCCTACATGACCCAGAGGCCAGGGTTCGCGGCGGCCGTGCTGGAGGGGAGCCTGCTACAGCTCCCGGTGACGTCGGCGGTGCCGGCAGAGACCGGGGACGCCTCGTCGGCGGGGGCGTCCACGTCAACGGCGGGGTCCACACCGACCGGGGAGGACTTCGGCTGCGACGACGGCGGTGAGTACGCCGACCTCCCGTCGGGTGACGAACTGATGTTGTTTTAGGCGGGAGGCGGCGTACGGGAACTCTGAGGGACGGCGGGGTTGGCAATTGTTATCTTTTTTGAATGTATTTTTTTTTGTGTGTGTGTTTTGATTTTGTTTCGTACATTTTGGGGGTATGAGAGCCGGCAACCCTTTCCTTTCCTAAAGGGGTGCCAACAGTTTTAAGGAGGGGGGAATGTGGGAGCCTCTGGTTCCCTTTCCCTGATCCGGCCTTCTGGCCGCGGGCACGACGTCGGAAGCCACTTGGCTTCCGACCGGAGCGTACCTTATCGTGGCAAGGAGAGGCAGCCATCTTGGTTGTCTACTCTCGCCACTCCTCCGTCCGCGTCCCTCCCGCTGGGGGGGACGTAGGGAACTTCCCTTTGGCGGGCTCGCCCGCCCCTCCGGGGACGAGGCTGGAGCCGCCAGGGAGAGAAAGAGGGAGAGAGCGTGTCCTCTGGCCGCTCGGGGAGGGGACTGTTCTGCTGGACTTGAAACTGTTCGGACGTGCGGCCACGGACTCTGCTGCCCCACCTCCGTCCAGGCTCTCGGGAAAGTGCGGCAAGGTAAGGACAACCTCCCCCTTGCCGTTACTAGTCTTTATATCTTTGTATTTATCCGGACAAATAAACCCCGGGTGTCCCTCTATTCTGTGTGTCCGTGTACTCCCTTCGTGAGTCCCGGCTAGCGGGTGCAGCCAACAGTCGAACCCGTCGTAGCGGTGACTCTGATCCGCTGCGGGGTGGTGGTTTCGCGGTCGGCCTCCTATCCGGACGCCTCGCACCCCTTTGAGACCTCCACACACTACAGCATTCTTAGCTGGGAGATTCTGCTTTACTACAAGTCAATCACTTTGTGTCATTCGGGTTATTTCTAGATTTCTCTGAAACGTACGCGCATTGTTGATGCTGTAATTTCTTTTTACTTCAACGGCTTTTACGGGCCTTTGCGAACTATATACTGGTCAAATTAAATAAATCGACGTGTATTCTCACCATTGATAATGACTTCTGACGCCGCCTGGACGGTCTCGAAGCGATTCCTGACGAAGCATTGGTACATGCCACGGTCTTGTCGCTTCACCCCGTTGACGACCAGCACCTCGTTGTAGATGATCTTGATGCGGTCCGATGTGTACAGTGGTCTGCTGTCTTTGGTCCAGCTCACTTCTCGGACTGGGTAGCCTTCTGTGGAGCAGTTAAGCCGCAGCGAGTGGCCGATGGACGCCGACACCCTGGTAGGTTTCACGCTTGCGCGAAGGGGAGCTGCACCAGAGAAAACAAAACACCTGATATCTCGACGTGTCGTGTACCGTGTAGCTTCCAGTTTGTGCATTTTGGTTCAGACCATTTACAGACATTAGGTTTGAAGAGTAATCTCACTTTATTAGGCAGTGTAAACTTCACCGCCATTAAAACAAAATCATTTTTCTTACCCAATCGTCACACATGGATTGTGAGATTTTACGAGCAAAGGAAACGAATAGATGTGTATTCTGCTGTTCGTCCTAAAAGCCTGAACATCCTGATAAAACCGAACTGCCAAACTCTTTTCAAGTTATAAGAATAAATATATACAGTAGGATTAGGCAATAAAGGTTCAAAATACAACGGGGAAAGGGGGGGGGGTTTCATAGTGAAGCTTGCTGCGATAACCGTAGCTAAAGGTCTCTATCTTGTTGGTCCAGTGCGCTGTGTCAATCGCCGAAGCGGTTAGCAGTTAGGGGAACCCGACGAAATGACACCTGTTAATAAATAGCAGGCCATAAATTCAGTAGAGCTAGTAGTTAATGGCCTGACACCGAGGATGTGGTACAGTTCATGCAGTGTTTATGTTCTTGTCCTCACATCCAAGTCCTAAATATTGGAACAATCCTCTGCTCGTTTCAATTGGGTCAGGATCTGACTGTTATATTTACTCATGCCATCAAGCATCTGTTGTAGGCAGCTACCGATGTTTCTTTGGCCGACTTTGCCGCGTCAGATTCCAGACTGACAACGTCGGTAACAAGAACAACGGCCAGCTATACCAAGACTTGTCGTGAGCATCTCAAGAACGGTCGTTACCTCCGCTTTTTCGCTAGAAGCGAAAAAGGGAGAGGGGGAGGGGGGTCTGTCTGTATTGACCAGCTACATACAGAAATAAAAACACAAATACGCGACAAGCGGTCGAGAATCATGCCGCACGAACTTATGCACAGAGATTCTGCGATTGGGTCATGCCGCACCACGACGACAAATTCAGTTTATTGTAAAATAGTGTCAGTAAATAATGGACATTACGAGCCTCCACACATTCACCTTATTGCTGACAGAACCCCAGTTCCCTCATAAACTGATAGCGCTGAGATGTGAAGGCGTAATTGTAGTGCCAACGTATATACCAGACGGCGTCAGAGCGTTCAATCCCTTCCGCGAAGTTACCTGGTTATTAAAAAGAAAAACTCTGCTCAAGCTTTTATGTTGTTAGCTACGGCTTATCTCGATCCGGGTTCTCATCGAGACTGGCCCAACAGTCGAAAGACGGAATATCCCACTGTTCTTGCCGAGTGTGCAAATAGGGGCACGCATCGACCGGCGCAGTTCGTTGTTGCCTTTCTGTACACGATCCTTTTCCGGCCGGCGACCTGGCGTGTTTGTTTGCCAATAATGGTGGCCGGTGCATTTGGCCTGCACTCCGAGGGCTGCGCTGCTTCTAAAGAAAATTGAGTTTCGATCTGTAGTGAACGGGTGAACACGATAGCATTCGCAGACTTCGACCGACGTCGCGCAGAGTGAGATAAATACGAGATGTCAAGATACCGAAATGATGCCAGAATAAGAGTCTTCGAAGGTAAGAGGACGCTGATGGTCCTAGGTTTAAGCCGGGCGCTTTACCTATCATAGTTTCGCTTGCGCTCTAGTCTCGTAGGATGTAGAAGCAGGAAATGAAGCAGGCGCCTACTTTTATTTCGTTCCAAAGCTTACAATTTTTTTTTTCAAACGACATAAAAAGAATTATGAAGCCAAGATTGATCGGTAGCGAGACAGAAAACCCCACAACGTTGTTTTTTCCTCAAGTATGAATAAAAAAGATTTGCGTCGCTTTGTATGAATGATCGAAGCAGATGCGGGTCATTTTAAGCACGACATCGATCCTTCCTGGGAGACCAACGCTTTGGGAGGGCCAACAAATGAACTTGATAAAATATATATATAGTTTCCTAAGCTAATAATAGTTTCCGGGTAACAAAAATAATTGCGAATGGGCTGAATTTCAAATATATCAGGCATGTAAAGCGTACAAAGCACAGCCCCTTTTGAAACAAAGCAAACTGAAAGAGCGCTTTGCGACGACCTACAAATCAACCCTATACGAAATGTATACAGATGCTTAAAGCAATCATACTTTCAAGATAACAAAAATTATAACGTACGGGCTGAATGGCAACAAATATCAGGCATGTACGGCGTACAGAACACAGACAAAACAAACGGGATCCTGCTGGTCCGTGTGTAGGGACGAAACGATATCAGTCGCCGCATTACGTCCTACTTTCAGGACACGAGGTAATGGACGGTACTGACTACACGCAAGTCCAATCCACCCCTCGCCCTCTCCCGGACAAACGAAAAACCAGAGGAGCGGGGAAGGCGGTGGAGACGACGGTCAGCCTTGCTGCTACTGTTACCACATAATTCTGGTCGGCGCGTTCATGTATTATGCACTGTTTAGAAAAAAGAAATCAAGTGCGTTAAATTAGGAATTGTTGTAGTCCGCTTGGCGACTTTTAAACATCAACATTTTCATGTTCTTAACCCAAGTTGAAATCTCCGTCACCCGTGATATCTCCGTCCTCTGTGACACTGAACAGCGTCAGCGAGGAGGCACACTAGAAAACCCGGAGGCTATATTCCCGTATCTTCCTCCATCCCCGAACCACCGTCCCGCCATCTATGGGGAGTCGTAGTCGCGAAAAGTCACCGTCACCCTAAGAAACGGCGGGTGTGGCGAGTCCCGGACGTCCTAATGTCGCTGCACAGCCAATGCGGCATTACGAGACAAGAATGCCCACGGACCATTCACGTAGCAGAACACGTGATCGTAACGCGGCCAAATACTGAGGCGTAGAAAGAGACGAGATCGCGAAGGGGACGTCAGGGCACCGAGCTCTGACTGCAACGGTTAGTGGATAGACGCAAAGCTATATGTCCTTGTCTCTACTCGCTGTTTGAACTCGTCCGAACGCAAACGCAGAACGCCGGACGCCGGACGCCGGCGCCCGGTGTTCGAACGCGTTCAAAAAGGGGGTAGAGAAATGGGAGCTAGCTTTACGTCTACCCACTGACTGTTGCAGTCAGAACTCGGTGCTCCGACGTCTCCGCATCCTCTCCTCTCCTCTTCTCCCCTAGTTTCTACCCATATACGCCACGATCTGCATTTCTTAAACGGGCACCCCCCAAAGTTTCTTAAACTTTGGGGGGTGTCAGGCTAAATGGAATATAGCCTGACACCCCCCAAAGTATTTTTTTAACGTTTTGCTTGTCAATTTATTATGGTGTCAGAAGACTACCCAATCAATATGTTGCTACAGCGTCGCGCCTTTTTTTTTTTTTTAATGAAGTCAGAAAACGCAATTGCTCGATACCGACACCGAAACCGAACTGGGGAGGAAGAAGAAATATATAGGAGTAGAGAGTTGCCGGAAGTCACGTGGCACGTTACCGGAAGTCACGCGTTTTCTTTTCTTTTTTTTCGACAAAAACGCGCACCGTCGCAAGTTGCTCGAAAAACTTACAAGTCAAGCACTTCGTGCTTTACGTTTGCGCTTTTTTCCAGCACTTCCCAATCCGTGTTCGTAAGACGAGCGATGTCTTCTGCCAGGAGAAGGGGCGACGACTCGGCGACGTCTTCTTGCGAATCAGCTTGGTGGTCGGGCGTGTCGTTCAGAATAAATTCGAATTGTTTCGACCGGTAAAAGATTTCTCTTTCGAAGCCAGACAGTTTCACCGGTACCGCGAGCAGTTCTAAAGCATAGGCCCTGCACCCGTCGTCCGCCGCCATCGCTTATAGTCCGCTTCGTTCAGCCGTCCAGCCAGCGATTCCCCGCGGTATCACGTCATGTTCAGAATTACGCAGAGAATGCACAGTGCTTCGGGTTCTCTGCAAAACTTTTCTTCTTTTTTAATCAACAAATTTCCAGTTTCTTAGAAGCCACAACAAATGATTATCATATTTATTTCTATTTTTAATAGTGAGTGTAGGCCTTCGATGACTTACGACTTTGATTATATATGGTGTGTGTGTCTAAACCCGAAAGAACGGCACGTGACCACGGAGGAAAAAGTGAGCTCGACTAAAACCGGCCAGTTCTCGATCGGCAGTTTTCAGGCGGAAAGAAAACGAATATCAAGCCGCATATTGTGTTCTGTGTAGCTGGGCTCTCATGTGTCATGTACAAATAAAAACTTTAGCGAGCATAAATATTCTTTCCGCGACCCTTTAAGTGCTCGGTAACTATAGCGGTCATAGTGACTATAGTTCCCGCAGTTCTCTTATTGCTGCTCATATGATTCCTAATGAATTTATCTCACCTGGCCGACCGCTGACGAAATTTTACTACCACATAACTAGACCACGGTCTAATAAAATTATCCCTCCCAATTACTCGTCAGTTGAATGCCGCCTGGCAGAGGCGTTTTCAATCTGCCATGGAGAAAAATACCTACTTGACGAACAGGGAATACATCTGAGTTCTTCTTCGGGCTATTGGGAATAGTACTCTCCTCAAATGCAGCTCGAACAAATAAAGAAGGTGGTCGACGGTAGTAATTTTAATCAACGCTAATAAAAAAACTAAATAACAACACGTTATTTTTATGGGGATTTTATATGCATGAAGATCACATGCCTTCAAAGATTCGGATGATTAACCTGCGATCCCCTCCTTCGAGTATTCCTCGATATGTTCCGGTTCCCCTATTTTATAAAGACATTTGTTTTGAACGGATTTCCAATGGCCGTACAACAAACATATAAACTTTTTTTTTTTTTTTTTTTAAGGACGACTGTTTACATGTTAAAGGTTTCTGGGCTTGCGATTTTAAGTTATTTATTTATTTTTTTAAAGAATAGAAAGTTGAAAACCTGACAAATTTCGATTGGGAGACTTGCATGGCAAGTCCCCCCTTACCGCCTCGAGGCCAATGAGGGTGTGGCATCGGGACGCTGAACAACGAATCAGGAGGCGAGAAGTGTGAACATAAGAACCCTGCGTTTCCAAGGC